TTATTTTACTTTTTTATTTTCCTAGAAGTTATAATATTGGGTTTATTTATTGTTTGTTAATTTGTAGTTTTTTTTTTTTATACAACATAATTTAAAATTACTAAAAAATTTTATTTATTTTGGAATAGTAATAATCTATAAAAATAAGAATATTAAATTATTTAATTTGAAATTTTAATATCATATTATTCGGGTGATGGAATTGTCTAAAAATTATTTTAGAGGGTAAGAATTAATTTAAGCTTTGCTTTATTTGGTTTATTTAATATTATTAAAAATATTACCTCTTTTAAACTCGTGCTATATAATACTATATGTTCCACTAGCTTCTTAAACGCATCATTATCATCTTGAACAAACCATTGCCTCCACATATACTCTAAAAAGTATGTATCATATAATTCTTTGATCGTTCCATACCATGGGAGAGAAGCTTTAACAGTACACCAAGTTGATTTAATCGTGTTCATATAAACATCTGTCTCAGGATCTTTAAAGTGTTTTGAATGGTTAACTCTTTCGAGCTTCCATCCATGCTTTTCAAACTCTTCAACCTGGTAGGCGGCCCAAAAATCACTATAAATAGTGGTTCCTTTTTCTACATATTCCTCTAAAATTTTTATTAACATTTCTTGTTTGCGATTAGGAACCGTAACCATAAACATTTTGTTTGAGTCTCTTTCAACTCCTCCAAAAGCCCACTGACCTTTTACTCTTTTTTCCCTATTATATTTACACTTACCAAATTTGCTTTCATCAATCTCCACAACCTTACCTTCACCGCCAATTTTATTATTTTGTTTTATTAGTGTCATGCAGCAAATATCATGACAAAAATTATACCAATCGACCATCGATTATATAGTGATACCAGATTCGCAAGCAGCAAATTTTTGAGGTAACTTATGGGACCAACAGAACATAATTTTGGCAATTTGTGCGAGGGATAGATGGGAATTTTCTAACCAAGTTCCAGATCTTATAGTTTGTCCATAACCACAAGTGCTTTTTGAAGTACAGGCCCATTTTTGATTATTGTTACGGGAACGGTCTTTCAATTTACACATAGGGCTATCACATTTTTTACATAAAAGTAATTGAGGTAAAATGCCAAGCCCTTCGAAAAATTTGACAGCATGCTCTGTGTTTTGGGTATTAAAATAAATAGTGCTGTAGGTTTTTACTAATACAGGTGAAGGTGAACCTACTTCATCTTGTGATATTTTTTTTATTTTTTATTTTTTATTTTATTTTTTATTTTTTATCTTTTTATTTTTTTATTTTTTTTAGAAATATCTATATGTTAATAAGGGAAGATGGCTTTATTTGAAGTATTTAATTTAAACAAGTTCTAACAAAAAGGTTTAAAAACTAATACTACTGTGAAGGCGATATAAAGCTTCTTTTATAGCTTTCAGATACTGTTAGCATGCAACAGGAGTATATCTTTTTTTTAATATTTTTTTTTTATTATTACAAATTAGCTACATGATCAAATTACTCAATTTATCTTTTTATTATTATAGGATCGAACTATTTTAATCTTTAATTTTATTCTTTTAATGATTTGCATGCTGAATTCGTAATGTTAGGATTGAATTAATTCAACATTTAATTTCATTATTTTTATAATTATGAACTCTGCATGTATGTCTTTAGGATTAAACTATTTGAATCTTTGATTTTATCTTTCTAATGATATGCATGCTGAATTCATAATGTTAGAATCGAATTAATTCAACCTTTATTTCATCATTTTTATTATTACGAATTCGGCATGCATATTCATTAGATCGAATTAATTTAATTTTTGGCTTTCCAAATTAGACATGTAAATATTTAATAAAATAAAATAATTTATTTATTTATTTAATTTGATTGTTTATACATATATCATTAAATGCATGTATATAATATTTATTATTCGTGATAGTAAATATATAAATTTACGACAATAATTTTATTAATCGATTTTGCATACTGCATATTTCTGTATTGTTTTTGAAAATTTACCAATTATGAGTTGATTCTATAAATTTGATTTTATAAAATAAAATAATAGAAGTATAATGAATAACAAAAAAAAAAAATGCAGACCACGATTTGAATAATTAGCAGTAGAAATTACTATACCATGCCACAATTGTTAATCATATAATATGCATTAATCTTTAATATATATATTGATATTAATCAGTATTGCTATTTGCACAAATATCGTAATAAAATAGATAAATTTATTACACATTTTATGTGTCTAAAATGTAATTACACTGGTCTACTCAAACTCATAGTCCACAAATAATTAAAAAAACAAAATCAAAAATCTCAAAATGAACCCCACCAATTCCACCAAATAGTACAATCCACAAAAAACGTCAGCAATGCATTACGCCTGCCACACCAAAAAAAAGATATGTTAATCTGAAAAAAAATAAAAACTTAATACTAAACTAAATATATGAAAAAATTTAATAAAACGTGACATACAACAACAAAAAAAAAGGATATGAAATACTCTCAACAACCAAAAACCATATCACCAGCGAGGATACAACAGCTTAATCTAAAAATAAAAAAAAAAGCTAAAACAAAGAAATACAAAAAAAGTAAAACCATGCCAAAAGGATACGAAAAAATATACTAGGAGAGAAACACAATAACCTAGCTGGTAATCCAAAAGAAAAAAAAATTAGTAATCCATTAATAATGCATTTAGAATGTTGCTCAAATACAAATAAGAACAAGCTATAATACCAAGTAGCAAGAAAAAATATATATCGCTCAAGATCAAGAATTTCATGACTAAATTGAATTAAATAATTATGATTAAAAAAGGAACCAACGATCTAGAAAATAAAAACTTCACAAAAACACTATACGAAAGCTTAGCTTTACTTCACTTGCTTCAAAAACCTTGGAGCTAATTCAAACAATAGGAATACGGCTTCGTTATGGTTAATCTTGGGTTAGTAATAGTTTTTATGTCAGTAACAGGTAACGTTAAAAGCTCGATTTCATACATTACGGTTACACAACAATATCACATCACTACGATTACGTATTACGTACATATGTATCACCTGATTTTGTTTATATTTTCTGACCAATCAAATTATTATGTGACTATTTCGAGGGTGACATAACTCGCAATAATCACTGGGTTCAGTGATATTTAAGTGTCCCCCCGAGAATTCCTGCGGTAAATCCAAATTGGTATTTCTCCGGGTCACGCAGGCACGTGCTTGTGATCAGGTCACGTTTACCGGTTTCACACCGGAATGATCAAACTTCAATTTGAAACTATTTATTGCTGTTTGCTTCTTAAGAATTGGATTATCGGTGTTATGTTGTAATATTTCTGCGCCCCAATATTGCTTCATTTCTTATTTCCGTCCCTGTATTATAATTATTAATATCGCTTATAATTGTTGGTTAATCCTGCTTCCGAATGTTCTTCCATTGCACCACCTTATTTCTATTTTTATCATTCACATCTTTCTTATTTGTTTTCTTATACTTATTCACCATCATTCTTACATGCAGCTATTTCCTATTAATTATGTCCGATCTCTGTTACCAAATCGATTTGTGGCACATTAATGTAAATTGGTCCGACGTATGATCACTAATAGCAATCGACCTTCCACTTCTTGTTGGTAGTCTGAACATCGATTTCCGATATCAATATTTCTGGTATGATTCTTAATTCGATCCTCGATGTGAGGGAAAGTTTAATTGGTGTTAATAGTAACACCAAAAATCGGCGAGTCGGTCGCTAAACTATCCGGAGCGTCGTGTAACCTACGATCGGCTTAGTCAAAAAAGGTGTTTAGATTTTGCGGGTGGGTGATTTTAAGGTCGTAGGTATATTTTCTACTTATGTTGAAACCTTGATAGAACACTATCGCTTATACTATCGAAACCATGGCTGAGATCTTCCACTTGACCTCAAACCAGAACAACACAAACACCACAACAATTATCGGTACGTTGGGAGTGTTGGACAATAACCACAACTATTTACGGCACGTCGGACAGTTGGACAATAACAACCACGGAGGCTCTCAGTACGTCGAGAATGAACCGGAAAACAATCTTATGCGAAGTCACGTGTGCAAGATAATTAACGGGCGAAGACCTTTCACTATGCCACTTAGTGATCGATCTGAGTTTGGGTATTTATTAGAGTGGATATATTTAGGATCTTAGGGATTTTATGGGTCAAGTAGGTACTTCGTTTTTGGGAATGATAATTATAAGCAGCACGAAACTTATTTCACTTAGGGCCTTCGCGGCCTTTATTTATAATGAAAGATTCGGTATTACAATAAATTCAATAAATGCGACAAATCTAACAAATGCGATATATCTAACAAATGCGACATATCTAATAAATGCGACAAATTTAATAAATCCGATAAATTCGATAAATTAGATAAGTCGAATAAATGCGATAATTTTGACCCGTGATCTTGGGTCATATGTTGGCCGCAGTATGAGTCAGTTTCCTGGGTTCACAATAGTAAATGCGAAGTGATATGATAGATAAGAGTTATTTGTAATGTTATCGAAGGGAAGTTATAGTTGGTCAACATGTATATAAACTCGATGTATTTGCCTTCTTATAGAGGCAGGTTTTGTCTTAGGTAGACTCCTCATTGATGTGTTGTCTTGTTATGCTTGTGACTACAGTATATGCTTAGTATTGTTTTATTTTTTTTTTATTTTGTACTTTCTTGTCCTTCCTTTTATTTCATACATTTACTCCTCAAACCCGACATATTACATATTCGTTTACCACACTGACCTATCTTGGCACCTATCCTACCTGACGCTCTCCCAATTCGGATGGAACATCGCACATATCGAAATTTTTTGACAATCAACTCCATTTATAGATTTTCCGAAGATTAATTAATTTTGAAGCACTCCCTGAAATTATCAAATTATATAAGCGAAAATTTGATTAATGAAATATGATTAATGAAATATCGATATCATTAATGAAATATGATTAATGAATATGATTAATTTGATAAATTTTGTGAATTCGGCTCGAAATATTTCTTATAAATAAACGACCTTTTATAAGCCCCTTCAATAAGCTGTTTCCCATCATTTTACTAAGTGTTATACGTAAAATCATAAATTATCTTGCTTATGTGTTTATCATAAAATATATAAAGTATTGACAACCGAGCCATTACCAAATCTAAGAACTCTTTTTATAGGTTGTCTGGGTTTTGTTTGTTGCAGTTACAGTTGCAAACGAAGCATTTCTGAAGATTCTGACAATCTTTCAGCATATTGTGCTTTTTGTGTGGTTGAATTTGAATAGTTTTGCTGTCCCACAATATGGGGGTGAGTCAATAGAAACGCACCAAATTTTTTCTAAGTAAATTTTTTTAAAACTTTGAACAAAAATAACTTAACAATAATTTAATCAAATTTAATAAATTTTTTTTTAAAATAATTCTAATAACTTATAGAAATTATTTAAAAAAAAATTTACTAGATTTGATTAAGTTTTTGTTGAGTTATATTTGTTTAAAATTTAAAAAAATTTCATTAAAAAAGATTTGGTGCGTTTCTATTGACTCACCCCCATATATTAGTTCGAATAAATTTACATTTTTAGGTATTTTTGCAAGTTTGCGAAGGTAATATTGAAAATATCATATATAACTTACCGTGATCCCAATATTACATTTCATCCCTTTTAGTTTTTCACATCTTTATCCTTCATATATTCCCGAATACCAAATAACCTAAAATACCGTTATGCAATAATATATATCTCCAATAAATTTGATACATATTTAGCATATTTTGGCGTCAAAAATGTCATCTTACAACAATCTGATTGTAAAGCAACCTGAAAGAATCAACAGTTCATCAGATATTACTAAATAGCCGATAATATTACACAATTGTATTTAAAAGATAAGTCACAAGATTTTTCACAGGATTTTATCAACGACATTATTAGAGAAATGTGTAATCTATATATTGAAAAACGATCGAAAGGCAATAAATTTAACTTAATACTTGATTGTTTAGAACAATTTCTAATAAACAAGAAGCAAAATCCAATTACGATAATTAATTATTGCTTATATGATCAAAGCAATCCTAATGTTCAAATGATTCTTGCAACTTGCTATTTTTTTGGTAAATGGGTTGATAAGGATGAACATAAGACATTTATTTATTGTCAAAAATCTGCAGAGATGGGTAATGCTATTGGCATATGCGGTGTTGGAAATTGTTATTTGAAAGGAATTGGAATTGAAAAAGATGAACATAAAGCATTTAATTATTTTCAAAAATCAGCAAAAATGGGTGACTCTGTTGGAATATTTCATAGTGGACATTGTTATTTTTATGGAATTGGTGTCGAAAAGGACAAAATTAAAGCATTAATTTATTATCAAAAATCTGCAGAGATAAGTCATTCTTATGGATTATATTTCTTCGGTGTCTGTTATCAATATGGAATTGGTGTTAAAAAAGATGAAAGTAAAGCATTCATTTACTATCAAAAAGCTGTAGAAATGGGAAACCCTATGGGAATATTAAAAATCGCTGAATGCTATCGAAATGGAATTGGAACAATAAGAGGCTTAAATGAAGCCAAATATTGGTATCAAAGGTAAAATGTTATAAAATTTTTTTTGTTATATTGTATTGCAACATAACCAATTTATAATATCAGGTGTAATTAAACTCAATTTGTATCAGCTTTATGTAAGAGCGATAGACTAAACTATTAGGACATAAAATATAATTTCATAAAAAAGTTTCGAGTTTTAGATTTTTTTTAAAAAAAAGATTATTACACCTGATTCTGTATTCAACAGGCAGACCTTGGTAGTGTTGCATAGCAATTACAATACTCCATTATAATTTGGTAGATTTGAGGATTTGACCTTTATTAAATTTCCTATCTGCATTTATTTTATAATAGACTTTGGATATTGCATATAAGTCCACTCCACATTGATTTTATGTTTAATATAACATAAAATAGCACCAAAAGAGGGAAGAGGGGTATAAAATAAAAAAACCCCCGATTTTCTATTAGCTGTGAAAAAAAAAACAATAAGTTAACACAGCAATTTGATTAGTTAATATAATGTTTTTTTTCGTATAACATTTCAAAAAATAGAGGGGAGTTCATGTTAAATAAAGAATTAAATTGGCATAGCCTAAGATCAAAATATTAAACATAAAACGATTGAAGTTTTTAATCAAGGTCAAAATACTGTAAATCTGCCAAATTGATATCGAATACGTTATATATTTAATAAATTAATTACGCTTAGAGAAAAAAAAGAAACAGGTATTATCATATTTAACTTATAAATAATATTGTTGTTAATTATTTATATAAAGTGAGAATTTTATAAATAAACATTAGCTACAAGCGAACGGATGCATAATTCAAACCTTTCTGAAATTGAAGATGAGTTGAAACAAATATTGATTGATAATATGCAACAGTTATTATGGATTCCTTATGATGAATTTGAGGATATTAGAATGATAGATAAAGGTGGATTTGCAACTGTATATTATGCTAGAATACGTGATAAAACTCCATATTTTGAAAGGAAAGTTGCACTTAAATTACTTCATGAGTCGAATAATTATCATGAAAAATTTATAAGAGAGGTAATTTTTATTAAAATTTTTATCAATTACTATATATCATTCGTGATTTATCACTTAAGTTAATAATCTGTGTGTATATAATTCTTTTTAACGATTAGTTAAAAGCATATTGCTATATCGGCCTTAAGGATCCGACTTTTTTAAGATGTATTGGTATATCAAGAGATAAAGCTTCTAAAGATTATATCCTTATCATGGATTATGCTTCTGAAGGTTGATTATGCAAAAATCTAAGTACTGTAGCACAAATGGATTGGAAAGATAAATTAAATCTTCTACAATGTATTGCATCTGATCTTTCGATAATTCATTCTCATGATCTTATTCATCGGGATTTACATAGTGGAAATATACTAAAGATAACTTGAAGAGTGCATATATTGCAGATTTAGGACTTTCAATATCAGCTAATATTGAATTAGAATATGTATCTGATGGAATTTATGGAATTTTACCTTACATTGCTCCTGAAATTTTTAATAAGCAACCATATACCAAAGAATCTGATATTTATTCATTTGGCATAATCTTGTGGGAAATTTTATACGGTACACCTGTTCCTTTTGCGCATAAATCTGAATTACAATTTCAATTACAAGTATGCAAGGGTTTACGACCATATATTTACGAAAATACAGCATTATGTTATGCAGATTTAATGAAGAAGTGTTGGGACATGGAACCAGAAAAACGACCAACAGCAAAA